GAACCCTTAAAGTATGTTGGGACCATGTGAGGAGATGTGGATTGCGAAAGTGTTTGGAACCTGACGCCATCAGCAGAAACCAAACACACTGCCAAAAAGATGCTAATTGCGGCAGGCGTTTGCAGCAACAAAAATCCCACCACTCAGACTCAAGAGGTGTTGCTAGATTGAATCATGAACTCTATGGAATCCTCGATCTTTGGATGAATCTCAACAAGGTAATTGTGAGGGGTTCCCATTGTCATTGACCTATGAACTCTCCTACTTACTATCATGTAGCTGCTAGGAGTGCTTTTGGATGTGTCGCGCAACGTCTCCCCCCTCTTTCCATCAGCACCTGATTGGCTTGGGTTTTCTGGATCTTTCTGGTGCTTCGTGCCCCGTTCATAGCGTGCTCCGTTCGTAGCGTCCGAACGCTCCGTTCGTAAGAACGGCCAGTTGTGCCCCGTTCGTCGCGTCCGAACCGTGCTTCGTGTGGTGCCCCAGGTTGAGTGACACGAACTTCTTGGATCTTTTCCTCGACGCTGCTGGGCGACAGCTTCCGGCGGTCGGTGTGTTCAATAGATCCACTTTGGAATCGCCCCAAGACGCCGTGAAATGACGAACTGGTTTCTTGCTACTTCCAACTGACCGCCATCAAAATCAAGGCGGTCAGTCATATATCCCTACCCTTTTTGTCTCGTACAAATGCATTCTTTTCAATGATCACACCCGGTTGTTCGCTTTATGTAGTTAGTAATTAGGGACCATTCAACAGATGCACTTCTTTTGGAAAATAGCAAGCCGTCCATGTATTCCTTTGGTGTCATTCATTACTTTCGATACCCAGGCCGCTTCGCGACGACAACCGCCCTCACCCATTTGCTTCGACCGAGAGCCCAAGGAACACCCCAGATGATGCGTAAGCAAATGAGCAGGACTCTATATTTGTTGTATATTTTGTTTAGTAATGATCTATTTTTCGACCCCCTTGAAATGGTACAGTTTTCAGGGTGTCCAACTTACTGTGTATCCAACAGTGCCTGTCCATATTGATTTCTTTTCCATCCTGCCTTGTACGGTTCATGTCCAGGTCCTATGCCAATACCACTTCTGTTGTTGCATGTTTTCTCCCACCTCTTCCCCTCCAGACACACCTCACGATGCCAGAGGTGAAATTTGGTTCCCGAAGTTCCCAAACGATACAGGCCCCCCACAGTCGGCCTCCCCAAACGCTCAAGCTATAGGAGCTGTGCTTCATGCGCCCCATAAGCACCGAACCGGTGCGGGCGAACCGTGTCGCGAGACGGAGGACAGCAGCAATCAAACAACAACATAAAATATAGGCCGAGGCTTTCTCAAGCATCAAGAAGACAAGCACAACATGCCACGGGTTGAACAGTACTGTCTGACATTGATGGATTGATCTTGGAGCCTGATCCTGTCGGGATCTCGGCCTATTCGACTAGTCGGGGGCAAGACCTGCATCAGCTTTGATTAGCCTCAGTGGCTGCGGTACCTTTCACGCACAGCTGGCTCAGGCCGAGAGTCGGGAAAATTTCTTGCAGTTCTTGGCTGGCGCGGATGATAGCAAGACCACCATGCCACGAGGTCTGCGGGTGTCCTTGCAAGGAAAGAATGGCCCAGTCTCTCTCGCAACCCGGTCGAAGAGGATCTTCAGTCATAGAAGTGGGTTACATGCCAACCATGCACCATACTGTGGCAAAATTGCAATAGCAATCAGAATCATGGCTCTGTTTCTTTGGAGTTCTTTGGTGCAGGACCGTTTCCGCCCACTTTTTTGTGGCTGTTTTCCGTTGTGGTAGAACATAACAACACCCATCTTCGTGGGAAATGTTTCATTCAGGACTCCACTTCCATGAGCATTCCTGCCCCAAAAGAGTCTTTTTGGAACAGTGGGAGCAGGAAAACTCTTAGTTTGGAACATGTTTGTTCCAAGGAGCTCGAAACCTTGCCATTCCCAAGGATCTCTTCCACACCACCCTGCCCAATCACGGAGCCGCGCGGAGTGACTACTGCTTGCTCGCGATGAGCCTGGGATCCGGAAAAAAAAACACATCCGTTCGGAAACGCCGGCTCTGGTTATTGGTGGAACATCACATGGGGTGTGTATCTCATTGTTGGGGAGACGTCCCAGTTCAAAAAAGACCTGTCTACTATTGTCTACTCATTGGGCCACGGGGCTTCCCTATTACATCCATGCGCGCCCACATGGATGTCCTCGCATTTGGTCTCAAAGACTGAAGGCCTCGTGTCGGGATTCATGGAGTGACACTTCTTAGGCCCTCCTTGTGGGCGGACCCTTTCAAACTCAGGGGATCAAAAGGCGATGTCGAAGAGCCATGTTGAAAAGCAGTCCCCGGGACGGTCGATGTATTCGTGTCCCCCTATTTTTGGTTTCCAGATGTATTGTTTGGACCAACCTGTTTTTGAGGGTCCTTCTAGTGGTTTGTTGACCCCATGCACAACTAGATCATAGCATGTAATGACTGATCAACCACTTGATGGGGCGGGGCGTGGTGTATTTTTTGGGGTTTGTGGTTGAGTTGGTGCACGTAGAGTGTGCTCGGTGAGTATGTCCTCATTACAGAGGTGATCCTGAGACATGTCATGTCAGATCTGAATTGGATGGAAGGAGTGCATTTGGAGTACCACCGGAAGCCGACTGCAAGCGACCTCTGAATTTTTTGCGCGAACATCTATGTGTGTTACATTCTGTTACTGTACAACTATTGTATATACCTGTACCATACCATGCCTCGTGGTTGACTTCACTTGACTTGGCATGCACTCTCCGTCCCTTCGTCCCCTTGGGGCCGCCCCTTTGTCCGGGAAAAATGCTTGCTCGGCCGAGGAAGGAGGATCACGACGGCCGTGCGGAGCCTCCGGATGCGCCGCCGGGCTCGGTGCCGGCCCTTCCGACCTACCAGGAGCCGCGCGCACGCACACGGACGCGAAGCTCCGTGAGCGAGGCAGATTTGGGAGGTGATTTGAGCGGTGCCGAAGATGAAGCGGCAATGGCCACATGTAGAGTGAAGTGTTTGTTGGCCAAGCAGCCAAGAGTCTCAGCTAGCAGCTAGCTTTCCACATCACCTGTATGGTGCAAGTTACGTTGACCCTGTGGTCACCCAAAGCTTCCTATATACGCAAAATGACTCGCCAAGAAAGTTGAGAAGGTCTCAGACGTATCGGTGCTCTCAGCGGTCCAAGTGCGCGAGGCAAAAGGTTCCACTACTGGGCCAACTGAATGATTCTCCCTCAGGCACAACCCAGTGGCCAGCGAGGAAACTGGCGTCAAGACTTCTCCAGTGACTTCTCCATCAGCCATCAGCACCATTCCAGTGCACTTCACTTGTATGGCTCGGTAGTGTCCGGCCTCGGCCTCGGCTTCAACAAAGTGACACACGCAATCACACATGCACGTACACACACCGGAATTGATACGAAAACACTTCCAAATATTGATTTGGTCCGACAATTCTCAGGAAAATGGAGCATTAGAACATATAGGGGCGGGGATGTCCCACATGACTTTGTCACGCCGCTTCTGCGTGCCCTCCAATCTTAGGAGTTTTTTCTGAGAGAGGGAAGATATATAAGTTGCCCGCTCCCCAGCATTTGGCAACATGGGTGCAACAGATGCTACTTCCCACAATCCGACTCTTTGAGTGGCGAAGTCGAGTTCAAAGTCTGTTGCAGCTGCCACGTAAGACAAGGTCAGACTGTTCAGCCAGAGCTAACCGCGTTGCCAAAAACAAGCTGAGGAAGGCCTTGTTTTACTTGCTGCCACGGGTGTGAGTGAGCTTCTCACAACACCAGCTGCAAATGAATGCCAACATGAGCTGCGTCCGGGAATTGCGACACACAAGGGATGAAGGAAGGGACCTGAAGGGCCAACCTTCGTCGGCCGCACTGCGACAGTCGGCCCTGCGAGTCGACAAGCGCTCATCGCTTGTTCCATGGAGTCCTGAGCTTCCGCTTAGGCCAGGTGCCGCTACTGCGTGGCATGGTAGCAGCCAGATCTTTGATCACGGCTCCTTCCCCCATTCCCATGCATGAACTGCGTAGCTGCGTATCCGAAGCTACGGCCGGCAGTTGTTAGGCCTGCCATGTGATTACTTGGCGATGGAGCGGAGCAAGATGCTGGTGGAGTAGTCGTTTGAGACTGTGCTCATTCCTGTGGGAGCTCCGATAGTGAAGATCCATGGCGAACCGGCTGCTGTGGATGGTACCAAACTAAAGTGCTTCCACTGCAAAACAAAGCACAAGTACACGGAATCTCGAATTTGAGTCATGTGACAAGGCCTCAAGCAGTGTAAGGTTCAAAGGTCTAGTGCCAAAGGTCCAGCGCAAGTACGTCTGGCTACACGTAAAGAGTGCAGAATCTATCGAGTGAATGCATGACCTGGCGCAAGTGAGCGAGCAGGGAGTGTCCTGCCATCTTCGCCCCTTTGCTATGACAGTCCCCAACTATAAGGCCTATAAAGAGAGGCAAGTGCAACCTTGTTGACATATCCTTATTTCACAAAGTGTGAGTGCTGCGAGGTTGACCAACGCGCGAGCGGAGAAACCCAGTGGTTTTGAGTTCGGTGAAGTGCCCGACGATCATTTCTGGCACGGAGGTGGTCGATCTGGGTGCCCTCGTTTAGTGGATGGTACTAACAACAGGCAACAGGCACAGCCTGTTGTTCGGGCACAGGCGGCCCTTTAGGAAGGCCCAGGCAGTCCTTCCAAGCTGCGTGGCACATTGTGAAGGCCGCCCAACTAAGAAGTCCAAATGCCACATGACGGCAAACGGGGCGCACATGGCGCCACCTAGACAAGCCCCATTCATTGGCCCTTTTGAGCCGTCAATGCACTCTGTAGAGTGAAGTGTTACTGTTAAAGCATTTATTCATCTTGGGCTTTGATGCGAAGAGATGCAGATCCACATTGACTGAATCCAAAGATATCCAAAAATCCTCTTGATGTTCTAGAGGTTTTGGAGACCTTGGTTTAAGATGCCTTCCTGTTGGAAGGTGGTGGAAGCCTACGACGAGCTAGTCGAGATATCCTTGTTGGTGAGCAACTGCACGGGCTTCTTGGATGCACAAACGGGTACAAACGCGTAGGGTTTGTCCACTGGGTGGTTGAATTGTATATTTGGTTTTGTTACCGTCGGTGTGCCAAAAGTGGCCGCGAACACTCAGTCTGAGCTTCCTTGGTCCTTTTTCTATTTGTTTTTAGGCGCTTTGGCGCTCAAAAAACTGTCACATGTCCAAACCTGGGGCCGTCCTTCTTCAGGCTTGCTCGACATCGAGGAGGCCCATTTGCGCTTCGACCGCGGGTCGTCGGCCCAACGGACCATTGAAACCGGCATGCCTACGTTGCGCCGCTTCATCCGCCCCACCGATTGGGACCGGATCGAAGGCGCGGGGACCGCGGGGACCGGATCGTGTGGACGTCCGTATCGCCATGATGCATTGCACCAGGCAGTGAAAGACAACAAGTTGAAAACATGAAAGGCATTTGGAAGTTCTTGTGGGATTTGAACATGGTCTAGGGTTTCTAATTGTGATGACCCATCTTCAACTGACCATGCTGCAGAGCCTTTCAATCTACACTATACTAACTATAAACTATACGAACTATACGTCAATTACATTAGTTGTGTTTTCAAGGGGTCGGACTACAGAACGGGAATGATGTAAAGTGTGAACATGTTTTTTTCTTCTACGGCTTTGACCAAAGTCTCTTCCATCTTATATAATTTGACTTCTATACATTGCTCAAGGCAGCGGCACCGTAATGGTTTCAGTTGGTTTCAAATGACTAACGCTCATGGTGCCCCGCAACCCTGAGGATCCTGCGCAAGGAACAACATGTGTGGAATTGGGCACGATGGAGGTCAACCGGTAACATATTACAACATGGTCCTGGAGTTAGGGTTTGACCCACAGCCATGAATAAAGCTACAAGCAAAGGGGTTTCCTGCCAGTTCATGCGTTGGTGCAACATGGCGACCCAGGAATGCTGAACTTTGTGATGCAACTGGAGCCTTCACCAGAGCCTTGCGCGTTTTTTTCACTGAGATGGTGAGGGAAGTGCATTGACAGGTCCAGGTAGCAGCCTGTCCTGTCCGGTGATTGTTGTGATCCCCAAACACTCGGGTCCTGCTCCCCGACCTGACTGAGTGGAGATTGTACCACCAGATTCGCTTCGCTTGTGCAGCCATTAAACATACAAACCACCCAAATGTGGGAAGGTTGTAGTTTCCGATGCTAATCACGAAAGGTAGCGGTTACGCTACCTGAGTTTTCCTTTTGATTTAGCAAAAATGAATTATAACCAGAGTGGAAGCCTATCTCACTGAGAAATCGCCTCCGACATTTAATTTTAAGGGCTGAGGGGGGCGGGGCAACTCCACCCTGGCGCGTGTCTTTGTCAACAGCTACAAAACACCGTAAATACAAGTGTTTTCAGCTCCTCCAGTCTGCAAGAGTGGCCTCAAACCACTCAATTTACAGTGTGTTCTGTGGCCAAAAACCTTGTAAAAACCGATGGATTTTGAAGTGTCTAGGCTTCAAAATGGTCGAAAAATGGTCAAACACCTGGAAAAAAATTGTCGGAAAGGCTTTTTTCGGCGTTCGGAGGCTTCTAAATGGCACAAAACGACGGTATTTACACAGGTTTGTGCGCCTTTCCGGGACAAAACCCTTTACACGATGGTTTTAGGCTGTGTACGCTTCAAAGTGGCCACAAAACACCGTAAATACTAGTATTTTCAGCTCCTCCTTATCTTCAAGAGTGGCCTCAAACCACGCTATTTGCAGTTTTTTTTGTGGCGGAAAGGGATTTTTCGGCGCTTGGAGGCTTCAAAGTGGCACAAAGCGACGGTACTTACACGGGCTTGTGCGCCTTCCAAAAACCCTGTAAATTGGGATGGTTTTGAGCTATACAGACGTTTGCGCATTAATTTTTCTATCATCAGGCTAAGTAACTTGACCTACCTCAGTTCCCCTTACTTTCGCAATAATATCTCACACTCAGTACTTGGAGCTTTGCCTTAACTTTGATCCTCTAGCAAGGGCTTCTGTTCAACAGGGGGGGGGGCCCTGACCTCCAGGGTTACGTCTAATTCCCTCCCACCTTTCGTTCACCCCCTCCTCTCTCAAGTTACATGCATGACTTGTTTGGGTAATTCAATGTATTTAGTCCTAGCATGTCGTAACATGCCTTCGTTTAACATCGTTTAACCACTGTTGCCGTAGAGTTGCTGGACTCGACTTTTCCAATTGCCAGAGAGCGCAGATCTGTGGGCTTTGTGATTTTTGTGCCACCCATCCATTTCGAATTAGAGTTGCGACAATTCTGACACTTGGCCACCTTTAAAGAACACTAAGTTGCAGAAACTCCACGTCGTTTCTGGATTCTTGCCGTTTCGGCTTTCATCTGTGGATGGAATGCCCCATGCACCGAACGACACGGACGACACCACGCCACATGGCTGACCCACATTATCCACCGTCCGTGGGGAGTGCCCCAAAAAAAGGCCAGCTGTAAATCTTCCCGTCCATTGACATTCCAGCAAACATCTACAAACATGCGATGCTCTAAGACTTCATCCCCGAACAAAAATGCAAAAGAATTTGGTCCTCGGAGATTCCTCAGAGAACCGCTCTCCGAATCGGTGGATCTTCCGAACGCCATCCATCCACCCATCCAACATCCGACTCGCTCGCTCGCTCGTCATGGTTGTTTTTCACCGGAAACGTGGCAGCGTGGCCGGGACCAAACTTGGTGTACACCGGATGTCCCCACAGCATACACTGCATCCGCACAGCGGTCATGGTTCAACAGGAAATGCCCTTTTTGTTGGATATTTTGTTTTTTTTCCGCGATGCCAGGCACACACAAGACAATCCACCCCAATCCATAGACATGTGTTGGTGCTCCGGCAAGGAGCCCGGGCTCGCGCGTTCTTCCTCAGGAAGCACGGCCGTGCTACTTCAAGAAGCCCATGCTGTTTCGACTCCCCGGTGAGTCCCGCAGCTACCTTTGTGCCCGACAAGCCTCAGTCTCCATGGCGGACCGGACGGTGGAACCCGGCCAACCGGTGCGTGGCTTGGTGGGGAAACTCGGAAAGGTGGAAGACATCCGGAAGGTGCCCAAAAGTGGTGAGACACCAAGTTGCCCTGATTTGTGGATGACTTGTTGGTGTGCAATTTTTGTTGGGGGGGTGTTATTTGGGAGAACTGTGGAGGCAGCGCCTGGCTCGATCCAGATGTCCAAAGCTCGCTCGACTGCACAACAACCCACGAGTACCCGTTTACAGTACGCGGGGTGTTGAACACCGGAGTAGGGTTTTACACATACCCTAGAGGTCCAAAGACTATACATTTTGCCCCACCATGCCCCACAGAAGGAAAGACAATTACTTGTCAGGTCACCTAAGAACCATGTTTCGAATAGTCTTCGACCACTAGAGCACATAGACATGATAAGGCATGATATTTGGATATATTTGGTTTGGTATATATGTTCGAATCTATTCACTCCAGACTCTGTTTTTGTCACCATTTGGGCTAGAATACGGTGGCCGAGCAGTCATTTGCAACAGAAACCGTAAGGCGTGCTGCTGCAGCTTTGGAAGAGCAGCCCGTGCTGACACTGGAGGTCATGTTGCATGAACCCCCCCCTAGATACGCTAGATAGACCCGTGTTGACCCGGAGACACCAACTGCAATACGAACTGAGGTTCAACATCAAAAGAGTTGGAGTCTTGATTTCCACTCAGAATTGTAACAGGATCACATCCAAGGCTTGCATGAGAAAACAGGTCTTGTCCAATGTTGAGTCCTGGACTTGCCAGCGCACACTGCTTTGAGGTTTTTGGATGCATTTGACTGCCTTCGATTCCAGCCATGTGCAGAGGCCTAGGGAGCAAGAGCTTGAACTCATCCAGGAAGATCCGGATGGGTAACAGTGCCACTCATGTCAGCCAACGTGGGTGGCCCGGTGTTCCAACCAAGCGGATTTTAAGATCATGAAAGATCGAAAGGCACGGTTGTTTTGATGTCCAGTGCTGAAGTTGGACACCCAAATCATGACAACAGCTTTATTCGATGCTTGTCATCGGTGCTTTTCCCAGCCTGGGTTGCATTCTGCCGGCAGCATCGCTGAAGCCTGCAAAGTACTGTATTCTGCGTGTGTGTGGGTGTGTGTGGGTGCAGTTTTTTGGAGGAAAGCCAAAAGAACTAGAATTCACACCAGGAAAAGAAAACTGACGGAAAGGTCCAGTGTCTAAAGAAGGAACAATAAAGCAACGCATAAACAGGTCTTCCTTCACCTTCGCCCTCGCAGTTGGCGCGGCATTTGCAGCGCTGAACGCCTTTGCACATGTTTGATCTTTGGTCCTGGTGTAACACGAGACGTATACGCCGGTGATTATGCTGCAAAGCATTTTTGCGGCTTCCTTACTCTGTGTAATAAGTGAAGCTTTGCCTTGCAGGGAAACTGACAGAGCCAAAGTAAGGAAGAGAAAACACTCGGACTCGGAGCTAGACGGACGTTACATGGCATGCGGAGCTACTAGCAGCTACTAGCAGGATGCGAACAGCACAAAATGCTCGTTATTTCCCTAGATGCTGCATCGATGTGATTGCATCGGTCGGATGAACATCGCGAAGTGTGACAAATCGGTCGCATGGAACCTAGCTGAAACATGCTCAGAAGCCCCACCCCAGTGATTCAGTTTCTAGTCCAGCGGATGGTCATCCAGGCGCATGATGTCAGGAGTTCACGCATCTTCTGAGTGCCTTGCGTCAAGCCTCGTGCTGACACCTGGCGAGTCCGAGTCCGAAGTCTTGAAGATTGGAAGAGGTAGAATGTTGTCTCCACACTTGTGTTGCACCAGCACCCTCAAATAGGTCACGGTCACCACCTGCTACGTTCAAGCACTTTTGAGTCTCCAAAAGCCACCAGAGGAGACCTGCTCAAACGTAATCATTTCCACATCCATGTTTTCGAGGCTTGACATTTAGAACCCCTTCACAAACCCCTGCAGTTGCGTGACACGGAGACATGGTTTCTACATTTGACATGTTTCTAGTTTCTATTAATCCTACAGTTTTTGCCCGTCATGCACTGGATCAAGACTAGCAGCCTAAGGCCTAGCATCACCTGCATGTTTTTGCACACTGACCAACCAACTTAGTCGTTAGCACCACGGATCTTTGGTGCTCATTGGTGCCGCCACTCCAGCAAACGAGTTTCGGAAGGGCCCTTTGTTGCAAGATCGGAGGCCTTCGCTTTGGACTTGCCGATCTCGCTCAAAGTTTTTTTCAACTGGTTTTGTCACGAAATGCTCGACCCGACTTGCGGCGCGCAAAATCGCCGGTCAGGAAGGCCACGAAAGTGTGCCCGGAAGTCCCAAATGAAAGTTTGTTGTTGGAATGTTGTTGACTTCTTGAAAGATTCTCTCCTTAGGACTCAGATTGGAGGATTTGGAGAATGTCCGATGGATGTTGGATTCCGTGTGTTTCTTGTGACTCCAGTTTGTGGGACATGCGGCTGATCCAGATCACTCAAATCGATCCTACTGTAGCTGTTTCTTTTTATCATCCTTCATGGTCCATCCTACTCACTGGGCAGATGTCAAGGGTGCCCCGCACCAATTGAAGGTAAAAATCCTCAAAAGGCTACAACTCATCATCAGTATGATGCGGTTAAAGGCACCCCCCACCAGTGGTGCTTTGATGATCCTTCTGAGTTAACGACTGCTCCAAGGGTCTACAAAGCATCCTTTCCGTCGCTGGTTCTTCAGTTCTTCATGCGCTTCATGTCACGTTCGACGTTTCTTTCCGCGGACGTTCCGAACCCAGGTGCCATACCCGGCATATTGGAGCCGTCGCCCTCAGGGTGGAGGGTGTGGAGGGTGTGGTGCTGCTCCGTTTAGAGCACTCCTTCGCCCCACCCAACAAATGATTGCAACACCGTCACCGGTCACTTGCTGATGCAAAAAGATACTTAAAAAAGAAACTCGATGGTAAATGGTAACATGTTCAAAAAACTAGACTGTTTATTACTGTGAACATTTTGTTTCATGTCACTATCACTGTTGGAATTGGATCGGGCTCCAAGGATTGCTGAGGCTTGACTGGTCCAAGCATGTTTGGCAGAACGAGGATTTGGTCCATCGCCGGTTCTTCCCATGTGTTCTCTTCCGCTCCTAGACTTTCATGCAGGAAAGAACGTTGCAACATTGAATGAGTTTAGAACCCTGCTTAAATACAGAAGGGCATCTCATCTCCCTGGCTCCTTGTCAGTGGAGGAACAAGTTGAACCATGTTGAACCTGTTTGGGAATGTTTGAGTTCTGAGCTGACATGCATGATTGCGAGGGCCCCCCATACTGCCCATGACTGGCAGACATGCAAGGCAAAGGCTCCAGCTCGGCAAGTTTGCCAGGCCACCGGTCAAAGCATCAAGCGCTGTGTGTTCATATGCGTTCATGTTCTTCCTTTTTATGACCTTAAGTAGTAAGATGTTAGCAAACCCCAGGTTGTTTCCATTGTTTTGTAGACGAGGATGACTGCATCTCAGGTTTGAGGAGAACCTATATGTTAAATGCAGCATCAGAGGAATGTTAAGATTGCTGATATTGCTGGGCCGATTCATTTGCGGGTTGTTTGGTAAAAACTGTGCACCAGGCCATAACCCTTAAGCCAAGGTAAGACAATTTCCTAACTTATATCTAACAGGTTATATCCTAACTATTATCTAGGACAGGAATAGACTATATATGACTATATTTTTAACTAATATCTAAAAGAAAAATAGTCTAAAAAATAGTCTATTTATAAATAGACTATTTTTGCTGTATTTGAGAGGTTTTGTACTTAGGGTTTTCAGCTACAAATGTATCCATGTAGGCACTTTGTCAGCATCCTTTTGTAGGCACTGTGTGTGTTACATTTTGTAGGCACTCTGTTGCATCTTGTAGGCACTGTCTTACACTTTGTAGGCACTGGGACAAATATGTTGTTCTTTGTTAAGCTTCACATGCTTCGCAGGATTGGCTTTTCCACAAACATTTGTACAAACACAAACATATGAATTTGCATAAACTGCCACAAACACAAGCACAGTTGCCTCTTCCACATCACATTTGCAATCTTCCACTTGTCATTTTTCATTATAATTCCTGTGTCTTGAACCACTGCTGTAAGCCTCTTCATTGAGCAGCGATGCCTGTAGTTGCAAGAGCTACAGTGGCTCCATCTATTGGTGTGATGCAAATCATTGGTGCTTT